AATGAAAGCTGGGGAAAAAAAAAGAGTGCTGAAATCCTGCTTTATCTTGAAGTGGCCTTGATTTCAGGACACTACTGTTTGGGCTTTGAATCAGAAAATCTCTCCCAATGCTGAAGAAATCTAGCTTTGACATAGAATAAAAGCTCTTATATTGATCTTTATTTTATCATATTATGTACAACAGGCTATTTGCTAATGCAAATCATCATGTGAAATCCAATGGGTTGGAGGGAAAGGACAAATGTTCTGCTTCAGGGAGTCTCTTGGGAACCCAGGATGGTTTTATTGTTTAGTCCCATCGTTCTCAAGGGCCTTGACTCCTCCGCTGATTCCTCTTTGACTGTCAGACAAGGGGAAGAAGACAACCAAGCATGGAAGATCTTACTGAAGGTTTTTATGAGTCATGCCTGGATGTAGCACACATTGCTTTCATTCATATGCCAATGATCAGACTGAAAAGGAGACTAAGAAACGTCTTCTAATTGTGAGCCCAGAAAGGAAAAGACGGGTTTGCATAAACACATACTCTCTTCCACTCTTGTACTTATCGTGGCTCAAGTATTCATATTCATTTCCAACTGGGTGCAGTGGCTCACGCCTGCAATCCCAGCATTTTGGGAGGCCAAGGCAGACAGATCACCTGAGGTCAGGAGTTCAAGACCAGCCTGGCACACATGGTGAAAGCTCATCTCTACTAAAAATACAAAAATTAGCCAGTGTGACGGCGGGCACCTGTAGTCCCAGCTACTCAGGAGTCTGAGGCAGGAGAATCACTTGATTTCAGGAGGTGGAGTCTGCAGTGAGCTGAGATCATGTCACGGCACTCCAGCCTGGGTGACAGAGCAAGACACCATCTCAAAAAAAAAAAAAAAAAAGTATATTCATTTCCAAGGTCATGAAAGACTGAATTCACAATTGTCAGAACCCCTATATAATTTTCTGACTTTCAGATGGACACGTTTTATCAGAATCTTCTTGTCTTTTTTCCTCTCTGTCTGTAGCCAAGTTCTAAGAGAGCGGCTGATTACTAAATTTTGATAATTTTGATAATGGATTTAAGGGGACCCAGATCCCAGAGTATGAGTTCCAGCCCAGATCTTTTCTGTAGTCTATCAATAAAGATAAGGAGATATGGGAATCACTAGCACATAAAACTTGTGGCATCTCCTTGCACTGAGGTGAAGAAAAATTCAGTGAATTAATTAAAAATTCAATTGCTAGTAAGGAACGTAAATGGTCTATATCCAACACAGTGACTCTAGTCACCAGAAGTGCTGATAGGCAAAGGGATAATTAGAATCAGCAAGTAAGAAGCCTGGCGACACGCCCAGTGAAGTGGCTCACCCTTGTAATCCCAGTACTTTGGGAGGTCAAGGCGGGTGGATCAGTTGAGGTGAGGTGAGGAGTTTGAGGTCAACATGGCAAAACCCCACCTCGACTAAAATTGTAAAAAAAAATTTATCCAGGAGTGATGACACATGCCTGTAACCCCACCTACTTAGGAGACTGAGTCAGGAGACTCCTTTGAACCCAGGAGGCAGAGGTTGCACTGAGACACCACTGCACTCTAGCCTGAGTGACAGAGCAAGACTCTGTCTCCAAAAAAAAGAAAGGCGGGCAACAGAAAAAAAGTTGTTTGCGTTTTATTAAAAACTATGAGAAATGTAAGGAGTAAGAAAATCTTACAAAAGGTTTTGATCTAGCTAAAACATGAGCTATGGGAAAGAGTAAAAGAAAGGAAGACATTCAAACTCTGCATGTATCAGTTTTACATTGTAGTGTTAAAATCTCAACTGGCCTTTTCAAAAGGGCATTGAGAAACACTAAAGAGAAAAAGAAAGGAATTTCTAGAGGCAGTCTAATCAGATTTCACGGATAGAGGTAATAAGCTAAAGACAGCAAGGAGTATTTCCACTGCAAGCAGAGTAGAAAAGTTTTCTGGTCAGGGAATTCAAAAGAAAACAGTGTTTGAGGGAGAAACCTTTGCATTCACTCGCACTGGTCCCTAAGGCACAGGTTTAGAAAGCAAAAGGAATGGCACACCCAGTTCCTACGTCTGTTTCCCAGAAAGGACAAATGCAGACCCAGGAAGAAAAGCTTCCCTGGGAGGGAGAATCCAGAGTGTAAGGAATTCAGGAATGGGGGCTGAAGCTGCAGCTGTTGTTACATGGTAACTTAAATGTCAGCAAATGGCTAAGGAACATGATATGGTTCTTCTGAGACTAGAACACTTCAGAGAGGGGAGCAAGAATTTGCGAGAATAGGAAATGCAACACAACCGCCATAAGCACGATACTAGTCTTTGTAGCAAGTAAAATTTCCACCCATGGAAGCATGGAAATTCTAGCCCTAGTCAGGGACCACATCAATAAAAAAATGGGATACCAAGGACTGTGGTCTAAAGGGGAAATGTGAATTAAGACCAATGGACTACAAATGAGAAAGGGGGAAAATGTAGCGCCTATAAAGAGAAATTGTTGAATACCACCTCGTACACTTTTTTTTTTTTTTTTTTTTTTTGAGATGGAGTCTTGCTCTGTTGCCCAGGCTGGAGAGCAGTGGTGTGATCTCGGCTCACTGCAACCTCCACCTCCTGGGTTCAAGTGATTCTCCTGCCTCAGCTTCCTGAGCAGCTGGGATTACAGGTACACACCACCACGCCTGGCTAATTTTCATATTCTTAATAGAGATGGGTTTTTACCATGTTGGCCAGACAGGTCTCAAACTCCAGACCTCAAGTGATACGCTGGTGGCCTCCCAAAGTTCTGGGATTACAGGTGTGAGCCACCACGCCCAGCCTCTTATGCATTTTTTTAACTGATGATATTTTAATAAATTTCTCTTAATTTATGCGTGCATATGCAGGGCAGGTTTCACAAAGTTATTTCCCTCTCTTTTGTTTTATTGTTCCCTCAGAATATAAGAAGCAGCGTACCACAGTTAATCTCTGAGTGAGAGATTTCTCTCATATGAGGTTTCAATTCATAGGCATTGGACTTGGGAAATTGATGGGCATCCTGGAAAAGCTAACATAAACCAAAATAAATTGCTGTCTTAAACTCTTATTTTTCCTTCTTAATTTGTCCCTCAGTTATGACAAGGTCTTTGGTGGAAAATGCTTTTATTTATGGGAATATGTTTAGATTTTAGGGGCTGCCAACATCCTGTGGGCCCAGGGCATTTTGTGAATAAAGTGTGGGGCTGGTGTTGTCATGTTCTTGTGTGTCTTTGTGGTCTCTCTAGGACTTCAGAAGGAAGTGGGAGAGTTTTGTAGTTGGAAGTAGACACTGTGGAGGTACCCAAAATACTCCTCTATTTCTAGAGGAAGAGAGTATGGGAACTACTGACCCTGTTTCTCCACCAGTATCGCTATGTGAGTTCTCCTTTGACTGACACTCAGTAAAATAAGAAGGAAATGCAGGAGAGAAGGTCCTTTTAGACATAATCTGGATCTTTATATAAAGGGAGACAAGATTTCATTTCAGTTGTTAAATTTCCCAGTGGTAAAAAGAGGTTTATATAATAACATGAAGGGTTAATATTGTTAAAACATATAGGTTTGGTGGCAAATTTGGGGCATTTGAAATACTGGTATTATATTATCTGGGCTCTGCCTTGAGCTGCCACATCTCCTATAAACGTATTTAGTGAGTAGGTAGGAGAAGGGGAAATAGAAGCATGGGTAATTATCCTGATATGTAGTATGCCCTTGGGGTCACTCAATTAATTCCTGTACTGACCCATTTTATAGGCTTTAGAGAACAATATCAAAAGGGATTTTGATGAAGGCTTAAGGGTATGATCTGCCATTCTAATTGGTCCCTGCTAGACTATAAGCTCTGTAAAAATCAAAATTAGGAAATTTTAATTACACAGACATACTTTAGTTATAAAAATGTAGGTTAAATCATATTTATAGACATATGTACTGGAATACAAATGCTCTGGGAAAATTTCCTCATGAACAAGACAAAAAAATTGAAAGAGGAAGAATATATATATATCTTGTAACCACAGGAGTAATATAAATGAAGATATTGGCCAGATGGAAAATAGGTTTTTGAAAGATGAAATTGTGCATACTTGGTTTCTTGTTCAAGGTTGATTAAGATAATTTTTTTATATTTGTCAATAATTAGGGAAAAAAATAAGACTTTCTGAGCAGTTAGTCTGTCTGATTACACATCTTCTAAATATAAGACTTCAAACTTCGATTTTTAATAAGCATTTCTGTGATAGGATGTTGTATCTGTTCATTTAAATCATACATTTGCATTAAACCTTAAAATTTCTCACTTTATAAATAATCTTGCTAACTTTGTTTAAACTAATTTCCTATTATTTACCCTGTGTTTCCATCTTTTGTTAGAATGAGACAATTTTGGTCTCCTACAGCATTCTTTATTTTTATTTATTTATTTTTTTGAGATGAAGTCTCACTCTGTCACGCAGGCTGGAGTGCAATGGCGCGATCTGGGCTCATTGCAACCTCCGCTTCCTGGGTTCAAGCATTTCTCCTGCCTCAGCCTCCAGACTAGCTGGGGATTACAGGTGCCCGCCACCATGCCTGCTTAATTTTTGTATTTTTAGGAGAGACGGAGTTTTACTATGTTGGCCAGGCTGGTCTTGAACTCCTGACCTCCGGATCCACCTGCTTTGGCCTCCCAAAGTGCTGGGATTATAGGCGTGAGCCACCGTGCCTGGTCTGTATTCTTTTTTTTTTTTTTTTTTTAAGTCCCCTCTGACTGATCTGACCTGAGTATAATTTAAACCTTAATTTAATTCCGTTGCTCCCTGAGAGCAGAACCCAGGGAGTTCTGGGTTTTTGTTTTTTTGTTTTTTTTTGCTATGAAGACATTTTATTAGGTCAAGCTACTTGCTATGAAAATGCTTTAAAACGCAGGAGGAGATGTAAAGACTCAAGTGTGTAGTGACAACGGCTATCAAAACACACTAAAAAAATCCACACTGCTTCCCCCTTTACCTAGAAAAGGAAGCTTCTAGGCTACCTCCTCCTCCTCCTCCGCACACTCCTCAAACTCCTCCTCCTCAGCTGTGGCATCTTGGTATTGCTGGTATTCTGACACCAGGTCATTCAGGTTGCTCTCGGCCTCGGTGAACTCCATCTCATCCATGCCCCTCGCCCGTGTACCAGTGCAGGAAGGCCTTGCGCCTGAACATAGCTGTAAACTGCTCAGAGATGCGTTTGAAGAGCTCTTGGATCGCTGTGTTGTTACCAATGAAGGTGGCCGACATTTTTAGCCCCCGGGGTGGGATGTCACAGACGGCTGTTTTCACGTTGTGAGGGAGCCATTCAGCAAAGTAGCTGCTGTTCTTATTTTGAATGTTGAACATTTGCTCATCCACCTCCCTCATGGACATGCGACCTCTAAAAATGGCAGCCACAGTTAGGTAGCGGCCATGACGGGGGTCACAGGCGGCCATCATATTCTTAGCATCAAACAGCTGCTGAGTGAGCTCAGGCACGGTCAGGGCCCGGTACTGCTGGCTGCCCCGGCTGGTCAGCGGGGCAAAGCCGGGCATGAAGAAGTGCAGCCGGGGAAATGGAACCATGTTGCCCTCATCACTGCATTCCTATTGCTTAGCAAAAATTAGGTGACCAGACTTTTTCGAATCACATGATTACACGTCATTTTGACAGACGCAGGAGGAGGATAAAGGGGAGGGTTCCCGGAGAATCTCCCACTGGCCTGGGCACTGGGAGAACAGGGTGGAGCCACAGGAAGTTCCAGCCATTGGCAGAGGGGAGGAGCCTGCCTCTCCTGTTCCTGTGTGTTGACCAGTGTTTCAATCTGTGAGATGGGGGCCTGTTAACAGAAACCCCTCTCGCCTTGCGGAAAGGTTTTTTTCCTTTTCACCCAAAAAACTCTGTTCCCTTTTGCCCTTCAAAACGTCTGCATTCCTAACTTTTCCTGGTCATGTGAAAGAACCAGTTTTTTTTTTTTTTTTTCTACAACATTTTGTTAAAAAATGTAGTAATGGGACCACATAAAGGTAGAAGGAGGCTTTTTCTGTTAATCCATTGATCATTTTCCTGTCCCAAATGGTTCAGCATTGTCTCCAGCTGACTACTAGTCTTAAGTTTACGAGATTATTAAAGGAAAGAATCAAAAGTAAGGAAAATTGACTTCTGAAGGCTGCTCAGCCTCTTTTAGGTGCTCTGTTGCCACTGGTTCTCCAAGAATGTTAGGATCAAGGATATACATTGGGTCATAGTGCTAGAGTCATGAGATTTGTATCTTTGTAGTATCTCCTTTCCTTCCACAAAGCTGAAGGAGTAAGAATGCCAGGTTTCCTTACCCTGAGAGGGTCTAGGTGGAGGACATGGGCTTTGATTGGCAGGAAAAGGCAGACATTCTCTTCTCCTGTCACGGTAACTAATTTCTAGTTAGATTATCTCTATCATGTGTTTAACCCTGGACTTGTCTTTCTTTATCACGAGCCAAAATTCCTTGCCTTTTCCATTAATGTTGGAGGCCATTTAGCCCAACATCCAGTAGAGGCAATAAGAAAAATTGCCTCTACATCCAAAAATATCCTTCTTGACTCACTAATCATTGGGGTATGAGTCAAAACCCTTATAGTGACAGTGTGCAGGCCACTTAAAATACCGCTTCTACCAAGAAGACTTTCCCAAAGTACTCACTCAGAATTAACCAGGTCTTCCCGTGAAGCATACTAGCAAGCTTGCATGTCTATGTGATAGTTAAGTTTTATTCAGTACACTCCTATATCATACTGACTATACACAGGACACTGCTCCAAATGCTTTACAAATATTAACATGTTCAGCTCTAAAATCTTTAACACTATTATTACCCCCAATTTGAATATGACGGAATTTAAGCTCAGAGACATGAAGCAATGTGCTCAAGCTCACAAAGCTAATATTGGCAGGCAATGGAACTCCAGTACCTGCATTTTTATCTATTAAATGATGCTCCCTTGCCCTTATCTTGATATGTCAAGATATAGTTTCAACAATTATACATTTTCTCAAAATTTTATGGCTTTTTTCAAAGAATATTATCATGCAGTATATCTTCCCTCCTTAGAAATTCTGACTTTAACTAAAATCTATAAAATCTATCTATTTATCAGATTTTAACTAAAATCCAATAAATTATTCTTACCAGTTATGTCACTAAGATATAACTAGTTACCAACCATGGATGCTAGCATCTAACTGCCAAGGATTCTGATTTAGTTGATTTGAGATAGATTACAAAAAACTTTAAGTTTACAAGAACCTTGAAGTTCCACAGAGTCTCCACATAATACTTAGCACATAGTGGGTGTATTATAAATAGTCATCAAATAAAGTGACATATATATTTCCAAATTCACATAGTGGAGTTCAAACACTCAGCAATATTTAGCTGAGGATTGGAAGATACTGATTTATTTACTCATTTATTTACTTTTTACAAGTGGCCAGATTTCAGAGGGATAGACAAAGAGCAGCAAGGGGAGGAGGGGAATCTAATCAGCAAAACGCACAAATCGACCAATCAATCAGCCAATCAATTAATTGGGTGATATATCCTTTACCAGGACCACATTCACAGTTAATGGATGAGGATCCCAAAATATTCTAAAATGTTATTCTTGGATACGTTGTTACTTATAGTAGTCCTGGGTTGATGAGCTAATTGTGTGGGATTCTAAGGTTAGAAAACCTGGTTTCTCATTCAGGTATCACCATTGGCCTGTAAGATCCTGAACAAGTCTCTAATCTTCCTTCAGGTTCAGATTCTTCATTTGTAAAAGAGGATTAATGTCTACTTTACATAGTTCCTGAAATGATTCAGTGAGATATTCAGTGTTAATCATTTTATACACCAATAAAGGGTATACGTATTAAACATTTTTAAAATATATTCTCTGTCTTCTATCTGATATTCTAGTCTTATATTCCACCAGTCCCTCCTCTTTTTCCTTAACTGTCATTTAAAGCACTATTAAGAGTTTTTTCCCTATTAATGTGGATGCTTTTCCACCTCCTCAGCCCCCAAAGGTAAGGAACTGGCTGTATTTAGTTCTGTATTCCCAGAACCCAGCTCATTATCCAGTGCATAAAAGGGGTTAATAAATGTTCTTATGAAAGAACAAATGGAAATCAAGAAACCATAATTATACACAAATATATTTTTACCAAAGCCATTTCAGTAGATGAAAATTGTTAGGTTATGCAAAGCCATGTGGAGAGAAACAACTCCAATCCTCAATTTAATTTTGATATTTAACATTGACTATTGTTTTGAAGGGAAGATTTTAGAAGCTGTCATATCAGACTCACAATTCACTCAAGTCTCATTTATGAGGTGTGATAAAACTCAGGATTTAAGACCTTGGCTAATTAACTAAGTGTGCTTTCAATTTCAATCCCTGTTATCATCAAATATTTGAATTAGCATTTAATGTTTATTTTGAGTTATCACTGCTATTCCTGGACCTTGGAAACTCAATTAGAAATGCTTTTCATTTCCTTCCAGCTTAACCAAAGGAAAAGTATTGACTCTCATCACAGGAGAGGCATTTCAGGTCAAATATTCCCTAACTGGAATTAGTGTTAATATGGATTCATTTCTGTCTAACTTACATCATCCAGTAAACACTTCACATTCACTGCCTCTTACTTTCCACTATTAAATCCCATACTGAGGCCAAATGATTTTTTTTTTTTTTTTCTGTGATGGAGTCTCGTCCTGTCACCAGGCTGGAGTGCAGTGACACAGACTTGGCTCACTGCAACCTCTGCCTCCCAGTTCAAGTGATTCTTCCACCTCAGCCTCCTGCGTAGCTGGGACTACAAGCATGCACCACCATACCCGGCTAATTTTTTTGTATTTTTAGTAGAAAAAGGGTTTCACCATGTTGACAGGATGGTCTCGATCTCTTGACCTCTTGATCCGCCTGCCTTGGCCTCCCAAAGTGCTGAGATTACAGGCATGAGTCTTTTTTATATTCAAAATAAGTGGGATTTCCCTCCCCTGTTTTTTTCCTCACTCCTTGATGTCATCTACTATCTAAGTTAGCTTTGTAATGATGAAGGATCAAATTATTATGCTACAACTGTAGAGATCTTTTCTTTGTTTTTCAACTATATCCTAGATCAGTAGCTGACTTTACTATGCCTGCAAATGATCTGAAAATCTTAAAATTCGTAGGTCTGAGGTATGGTCCGAGATGATGCATTTCTAACATGCACCTAGGCAATGTTAACTGAGGAACTACAGTTTTAGTATTAATAGCAAGGTTTTAGATAATTTCAATTCATTACAATTATTTAAACTTGCTCCTCTCCAGTTCTTGCTTCTATTTATTTATTTATTTTTGACACAGCATCTCACTCTGTTGCCCAGGCTGGAGTACAGTGGTATAATCTCTGCTCACTGCAGCCTCTTCCTCTTGGATTCAAGCAGTTCTCCAGCCTCAGCCTCCCGAGTAGCTAGGACGACCGGTGTTCACCATAACACCTGTATAATTTTTGTAACTTTTTTTTTAGTAGAGATGGGATTTCAACATGTTGGCCAGCCTCGTCTCAAACTCTTGACCTCAGGTGATCTGCTGCCTCGGCCTCCCAAAGTGCTGAGATTACAGGGATGAGCCACTGTGCCTGGCCTTTTGCTTTTCTTTTTCTTTTTCTTTTTGGAGATGGAGTTTCACTCTTGTTTCCCAGGCTAGAGTGCAACAGCATGATTGCAGCTCACTGCAACCTCTGCCTTCCAGGTTCAAACTATTCTCCTGCCTCAGCCTGCCGAGCAGCTGTGATTACAGGCACATGCCACCACGCCCTGCTAATTTTGTATTTTTAAGTGAGACAGACAGGGTTTCTCCATGTTTGTCAAGGTTGGTCTCAAACTCCCGACCTCAGGCGATCTGCCTGCCTCATCCTCCCAAAGTGCTGGGATTACAGGATGAGCCACTGTGTCCAGCCACTTTTTTATGCTACACTTACAGCCATTCACCTATTCCCTAGACTCACAATAATGTTCCTTGGATAACTGGGTTGTTTAGTCGACTACAGTTTAAATTCCATTTGCCCCAGCTGCATAGTTTGCACTGGGAGCTCCTACCTCTCAGCCTAATAAAAACTCACTTCCAAGAAAAGTACCACAAACAGGAAGGAGACATTTAGTAGGAGTGAATGCTGAGACAAATGAATTAGTCTGAGTCTCAAATTCTTCATGTGTTTAAGGGAAGTGTGCTTCATGTTTGGAGAAAGATGTTCGTGTAACGTACAAATCTCTTAATTCTTGAAAATATGTGCATTATGTTTTCAAACTTACTAATCATGTTATTCAAATTATCCACATGTCTCTCATTTTAATTGTATTTCAAACAAAAACGTGTATTTTCCTTTCAAACATGTTTATATTATTTAAAATGTTTATGTCTATCCCTTTAACTTTTAATCATTTTTAAAAGTTTCTGTTTATATTATATATTTTATAGCTTGCTATTTTAAACTGAAAAAATTGAGTCACTTGATACTGTATTTTTTCTTTTATAAATAAGTAGTCAAATTATGATAGTCAGATGATATA